AGGCCTCAGGCCTCAGGGTGTATGGAATAAAACCCGGGGTAAATCCCCGTACACCCTTGATTGAACCTGGATAACTAATAACATTGCAATGTTTATTAATGCATTCAATGTTAAAACACTGCCACCTTGTTTGCCTTTTTCGTGTGTGCTGTTTTAAGGATTTACCTATTGATGCAAGTTACAAATTTATTCATAAATTGTGGCATTTAATATTAGCTTTTCATAGAATTTATATTTCCTTTGAATCAATGTAGCTATATTCCAAATTAAGAGTATTTTTAAAAATTTTCTCACACAAGAAAACATGTTCAGGAAGGTTCAAGTTGAGCTTCATTTAGATGTCAGTAATTTTCATAAAAAGAGTACATGCCGCAAGATATTTTCAAATCAATAAAAGAAAACATAAGACAGTAAAATCAAATGATCTTCTACAGTGTAGTTAAATGTCTTACTGCAAATAGGGCCATCACTTCCTTGTCCAACTCCACACACAACAATTCCTGTAGCCTGTTTTCTTGAAGGTGAATACTTAATCCCGCCCATGTCGAGGGAAAGGACTTCACTTGAGTCATTTATTTTTTTGGTAGAATTTTCTAGGTCTACCAGTGTGTCTACCAAGCGTTTCAAACCTTTATCCACTATAAAATTTATTGCAAAAACGGCTTTTAAAACATAATTATACATTATTTCATATTGTATGTAAAACCTGTTGATTAATAGTGCGTGATTGCAGAGAATTTTATCAATATATGTATGAATGAAATATTCTAGCATATTAGCTATGGGTCGCACGCGTGGCGCAGTGGTTAAACCGTCTGCTCTTGAGTCGCGAAGTAAAAAGTCAATCCTTACGTCGCGGGTTCGAATCCCACTGCGGGACGTGGAGACTGGTCCTTCGGATGAGACCGTATAAACCGAGGCCCCGTGTCGCAGTAGGTGTTGGCACGAAAAAGATCCCTCACTGCTCAAAGGCCCTGAGTGCCGAGCATAGGACAAAATTTGTAGCCTTCCACCGGCAAGTGGTGGCGTCTCCATTTGAGTGAAAAATTCTCGAGAGGGACGTTAAACAACATACAATCAATCAATCAATCATATTAGCTATGGAATAAGGTAAGCCCAGCTAATTCTACTTCAAAGATATATTGAATTGTCGTGCATGAAAAAAGTACATGCGTGTACACTAATTCTTATAATTGTAGTCAGGAAGTAGAATAACGCCTAATGAGAGAGAGAGAGAGAGAGAGAGAGAGAGAGATATTATTTGAAAGAAGCTAACAAGTGCTTATAGATTTAAAGTTTGACTATGAAAATCATGTTAAGGCTTAGTTGCTATTTAAAACCAGTCATACAAATCATCATTTCGAATGTTCCATGATCTTTACTGACATTGTCAGCAGATACTATACAAATATTGCTGTTTTATGAGGTCAATACAATGATTTAGCCAGCTGAGGAGTACATTATGCACTGAACCCTTCGGGCTCAGTGAATATTGTACTTCGAAGGTGGCCAAATCATCATTTTGAGCTCAATTCAAACTTAATTGAAACTTTTAACGAGAAATTTCAACAAAAACACATTGTAACATGAAATATGGAACAGGAAGGATATGGAGATAACGAACAATATTCTATACCAAAGTCCATAGAACGATACAAAATAGGAGCAGAACAAACACGGACCTCCGAAACATCAGAAGTGGGATCAGGTGCCATGCCATGGAGGTGTGAGCATCCCTTGCTTCCGGTCACATCCACCGTGTGCTCATTGTAATGATCGATAAATAACGGAGAAATCCTCCCTCAATTCAGTGTATAAATATTGGACTGACAGTTTGTATAAAAACGCCAGTCAGCATTTGACTCAATGATAAATTTTATTTGCTGACAATGTCGTTGTATCGACCATAGAACTTACAAAATAATGACTTTTAACTCAATGATAAATTGTATTTGCTGGCAAGCTCGTTGTATCGACCATAGAACTTACGAAATAATGACTGCTGATATTCTTGTTTCATCAACTTGCAATTGCTTGTCAATAATTTACCTCGTTTTACAAATTGTTCAACAAATTGTTGAGCAGGCCCTTGCATATCTAATCATCTGAGATATATACACTCCGTATGCAGGTGATGAAGCTATATTGCTGCATAAGTAAGAAAACTTGACGACAGAAATGTTAAAGTCATCACTTTTATCATATAATTTGGTTGTTAGGCTACCATTAACGATTTTTCCAAGTAAAATATCCAAGTATGATTCTTATATTGTTCTGCAATGATTCCTTGTGTTGACGTTGAAGGTCACGTGATTCATTACATTGACCTGCAATATTTCCTTGTATTGACCTGGAAGGTCACATACAGGTCAATATAAAGTAGTATGTTTCTAACATTTTTGGATCTCAACCAATCAGATAGAAGGGAAATTATTCAATTATTTGGAAAATATTTTATTTATTCAAATGCTGTATGAAGTTTTTCATACTAATTGTTAGTCTATTATTTATATATTAAATTGACACGTATTATTCGTTATTTCCAGAGCATTACAAGGAAGAACGCGGCGGGCTACATGGCACCTTATCCAATCTCTCTGATGTATTGGAGGTCCGTGTTTGTTTTGCTCCTATTTTGTATTGTTTTATGCACTTTGATGTTGAATACAGTTTGTTATCTCCACATCCTTCCACTTATAACTATATTTGTTTGAATGTCAGGTTCATTTTCATTGTTTCGACAACGTGCCTAAAATCTGTATTTTGAAAAATAAATAAATATCAATTCTTTTTTTTTAATTTGATAATAAAATTTATAATCCTTCGATTCGGTGATTTTTTGACTGACACATTTTATTTTATTGTCATGGTTTAGTTACATAGTTTATTAATCACACAATGTCTATAGTCCAAGAGAATTTTTTTATAATGGTGAAAGAAAAATGATTTTAAAAATAATCATTTACATTCATTTTCAAATGTATCAGACAAATAAGTTTTCTAGATATAATTAAAGACTTATTTTCAGAAATGTATTTAAAAAACCCAACAATTTAACAACGACCCCTTCCCCTGGATCTTGTTTGTTCTTAATTTAGAATTTAAGAATGCAGAAAATATCAATAACATTCAATATATTAATCAATATTAACTCACACTTTCCGGTTTCCAAGTAATGTATCAAATCCAAGTCTTCGTCAGGAAGTGTTGCATTCAAAGTTACTTTTAAAGAACCTGCTTCGTTTTTAATTTTACATTCTGAATGAAGATAAGAACGTCGATAAGTTTTTGGATACAATAAATACTGCAACACATACAATAAAGAAAGACCTATAAGTTTATTACCTTGTATTGTTAATGTAGTATCGAAACAATGTTGTCTGATTTTAATGTGTTCATGTTAGATTATTTATGAAAGATATAAAATGTAAACGAGCAAAGAATGTATGTTCTTAACATCGGTCTTAGTTTAAATTTCAGCGCGAAAGGTGATTTTAAAAAGTCTACGTTATACCTAATTATTATACGTAGTGCATCTCTCTTTGAATCTAACGGGGTTTTTTTTTTTTGTAAAAAAGACGTATCCAAAAACATTAGGATGCCCAAAAATATGAATGTCAGCAAGATCTCTGATCTCTAACATGCTTCCGGTTCCATAAAATTAAGACGATTTTACTTTTGATCTTAGTCTCACTGTTCCACTGTGTACTTTTTTTTTGGGGGGGGGGGTTAAAGTTGGTATTGATTAAATATAAGCTCCGCTTAGAATAATGGCCCAGGACCCATAAGTGACTAAGTGGTAATAAGTAATTTAATTACAAACCGTCCATTGAAGTTGTTAGTTCACATATCCCTTGTTTATAGCAGGACAAAGTTGATTCTAATGTTTTATGTAGAGTTTCTATAACTATTGAGGAGTCGGTACATGGCATTGATGAGTTGTACTCAATGACAGTTACTGAAGATAATTTATTGGGTATCATTGCCTCTGGAAAAAAAAAACGAATGCAAACCAATACTAAAACTATAGTGTGATTATTTAAATGACAATTGTTTTTTTCTATATATTTATATGACATTATAAACACGTTATTTATATGACTTACTCCCGCAAGCAGGTGTAAGGCCATTCCAAGTATAACCAGTGCTTTGTCCACATTTGTACTGTTTGAGGGGACGATTTTCTGGAGCGAAGGCGTACGCTGCTACACAAGATACTGTGCAAACTTTGTCCCCACTAATATCCGAACAGTTCATCACGTTACCAAAGGAGAGTTGAAGTTCCGGACAAGCTGTACCAAATGGTAAAATAGAAAGTGTTTTTTTTATCTCTTGTAATCGGAAATATCGGAAGATTAACATTATAATTGATTTCTTCGAGTTAAAACTTAGTTTTACTTACTGTTATTTAGAGAAAAACTGTATGTTAAAAACTCAAAACAATGCATTAAGGAAATCGAATAAAAAAAATTAAACGTTCAATTAATTTTTTTTTAGATAAAAGTCGGAGAATGGTTTTAACTGAAATGAATAAGACATTGGCTTACTTGGACATGCCATGGTGTTACAATGCACATAATCCGATGCCAGTGAAGAGTTACATTGGAGACCTTCGGAATCCGGAAATGGATTATTGCAAACACGAAATCTCGTCTTAATGCCTCCATTACATGTCACTGAACACTTGGAAAAATCGCTCCAAGCACTCCAACCACCGTTCACTGTATAGATAATTTTATATATATATATATATAGGGAATGTTGGAAATCAACGTATTTGAGTGAGCCAACATGTAAAATATACGAATTAGAACCAACACCCCCCGCCCCCCCCAAAAAAAAAAAAAAAAAAACAGAGACAAATTTATGGAAAGCTAAATAATGTAAGAATTTTGCTTGCTATTAAACTTTTTATTCACTTTAAATTCAGAATTTTCTCTGATGAGAAACTTTTCATATATTTCTTTTCTGTGTATTGCATTGTTTCAAATGGAGGTCATTAATGACTTCGTTAATACCTTACAGATATAAAAACTTTATTATCATAAAATGTTTTCATGAAATTGTTGACTGCAATCTAGGAAAAAGTAGAAATTGTTTTATTATTGAAAAGTTTAAATCAAAAAAGTTGTCCTATGTGCAATCATGGCTTTGATATTTTTGAAAAGATACATTACAATGTAAAGTTTTGATCGGCCATTTTGCCCCCCCCCCCCCCCGCCCTATCCCCGGGAGTCATGATTTTAGCAAACTATCTGTGGATGCTTCCATATAAATTTTAGCAATTATGGCTTTGCTATTCATGTTGAGAAGATTTTTAAAGGACTTTCCTATACATCTCAACTAACTTTTTAAGCTCACATGGTTTTTCGCACAAATTAAAGTCACGTTGTTATAATGTAATATTTTGTATTGAGAAAATACATTTTAAAAGTATTTGCTTACATTACTTGAGTTTTATTTCATTTGCTGAAACATAATTCATACAAATCAATTGCAAGAACTTTTCGATATTCTTGGCTGAAAAAATAGCAACTATTTCCATTTGATTTTTTTGGTTTCTTGCCAATTGCAGCTGTCTTTTTATCCGTTCTTTTGAAAGCAGTAGCTCTTTGTGGAAACATAGACAAAGGAACGATACAGCTACTGTAACTTGTATTTTCTGTACATTCCGACTCTTCAGTGCAGGGTGATAATAGTATTTTTATCTGATTGACTGCTTTGTTAATAAGGTGGCATTTTCAGAGTCACCTTTTTAAATCTAGAATCATAAAAGATTCATCCCACAGCCAATTTTAACGTTTCAAACCGTAAATGCAGAAGAATTTTCCTTTTCATAGAAACAAATTTTTATTAGAAAAAATAAAGAGTACTTCATTATCCTAGTATGTTTTCTTTCTGCAATGTTATCCCTTTTCGATGTTACATTTAGACAAAACCAAAAGGATTATAGTAAATGAAATGTGACCTTAATTAGTGCAAATAACCATGTGAGCTTAAAAAGTTTGTTGAGCTGTAAATCACGATGTAAAACTTTGATCGGTCATTGTGGCCCTTTCCTACTCCCAGGGTCATGATTTGAACAAACTTGAATCTCCACTCACTTAGGATTTTTCCCCATAAGTTTCAACTTTCCTGGAAAAGTGGTTCTTTAGGAGTTTTTTTCAGACATGTCACCAAAGAACTTTAATTTATTCGAAAATAACCAATATTTGCCCCCCAAATCAAACTTGGATGGAGAAATTTTTAATTATGTTTTTTAATAAAGGGATGTATGCTGACTTCAAAACACTGAATGTTTTCATCTATGATGTCAAGTGTTTGAAAAGTCGTCACAAAAATGACGTAAATTAAAAATTTCCAAGATAACTACAAGTATATATATATATATATATATATATATATATATATATATATATATATATATATATATATATATATATATATCACTAAAAAACCAACAACACTGTATATCCTAAATGTCGGATCTGCCAAGTAGATACAAGGTCACGGATGGAAATTCATATAAAGCACTAAAAATGACCAACGACACGAACAATAAAAATTGTCAAATTTTCTTTAATAGTGTTCTAAAAATTTCCAATTCAACATGTAATTAAATGTGTAAATATATATTGTTTAGTAGTTTAGTAGTAGTGCTAGTTGTTTTTGTATCGCTTTTTTCTTTGTTCTTATGACTTTTTAACTTTTTTCTTTGTCCTGAGGAAGGGACAGGGCGTCCCGAAAATTTGACAATTTTTATTGTTCGTGTCGTTGGTCATTCTTAGTGCTTTATATATATAAATATAAATATATATATATATATATATATATATATATATATATATATATATATATATATACGGCGATAGTAAAAGTCACCGAGCGCATGTCTGATCAGGCTCAATATTTTGATATACTGTCGTAGAATGATAATATCAATGAAATATGTAAATATTGTTCCTGAGCAAACTTGCGCTCGATAAATTTTAAAGCGAAGATTATTGAAATTTGTCCATTTTGTGCTCTTTCAATGATGTAAATCGGACTAGTTCGTGATGTCATAAAAACAAAAAAATTGTCTATAAACTACTTTGAAACTATAAAATGTTCTCTCAATTTATATTTCATATACACTTTATAGAATTCAGCAAGGATTTTTCATTTTTTTTTCTTTTTGGAGGGCAAATATATGGAATATACAGCATATAGTTCTGTTCACTAATGCCCAATCATCTCCCCTTGAATGAGGTCATGGCCCTTCATTTGAACAAACCTAAATCCCCTTCACCAAAAGATACTTTGTGGCAAGTTTGTTTAAAAGTTTGTTGGCACAGCGGTTCTCGAGAAAGAAGTCGAAAATGTGAAAAGTTTACAGACAGACGGACGCCAGACAAAATGTGACCAGAAAACTTCATTTAAGCGTTCGCCTCTAGTGAGCTAAAATGATTAGAAAAGACAAGTTTTTGTTGCCCGCAGAGCAGTGAAGCACTTTAATTTTACTCAACATCTGTCTGTCAGTCCGTCCACCCGTCTGTCACACCTAACATTTGTTAGAAGTATGGGTTTAATATTTTGCACATATACAGCTTGGTTCTACGAATTTACAGGAACAAAGAAGATTTAAAAAATAATGATGCAAATTCATTTTTTACTTATCATACCCACACCCATTTGAATTCTTCATTGCAGAGCTAATCATTTTTATTTCATTTTCATTTTTTAATCATTTCTAGAAGATGCACACTACGATTTATAACATAATTTAAAAGAAATACATATAGACAAGCTATTGACAGTCCGTAGCCTGGTTGGTCATAGTAATTTTGGTGAAACAAAACCTAATTTATATAAGTTATTATACATAACACAGTTAGGGTTACAAATGGAAATATTTGCAAGTGTTAAAGATAAAAATACATACTTCATAAGGATGGGCGATTCTTTTTAGGACTTCACTGATATTAAAAAGTAATGTGGTTTGAATCTACATGTTGTGGACATAAACATTTATGATTTAGACTTTACACGTCATGTCGACGTTATTTAATTTTAGCAATTATACTTGCAGTTTTGAGGTCATCTATAAACTCCAATATTGCAAGGACATAACCAAAATAAAAATCTGAAAATATTTGCGAGATGATTGGACAAGTGCTTTGCGATCGATGCATCGTTTATTTACTGTTGTGTGGGATTTATCAAACGAAAAAAACTGCATGTAATAGTAAGTTTGTATGTAGTATACAGCTATCCAGCTGTTTGATTTAGCAAATATTTTCATTTTTTGGTATTTTTGAAAACCTTATATTATGTGTGAGGTCATAGTAAACATTTTTCGTTCAAATTAGGCCCCATCTTCTTACTTTAACCTTAACTAAGCTGCGTAACAGCAATACGAAATTAAGTGAATAAAAAGGATTCTTACCGACAGGAATTTCACAATTTTTCCCTTTGTACCCTCTTGAACATGAACATATGTGAGTGTATTTTCCATTCTTACAGACGCCACCATTTTTGCACGGCACTGCGCTACAGTAATTGGGGGGAACCTCACAATATTCACCAGTGAAACCATTGTTACAGTGACATCTGTAGTTTCTAACTAAATCTATGCAGTGATGACCATTACATGGATTTGGGATACACTGATTGACATCTAAAATTGAAGACTTATCTAGGCTTTTCTTTTTTTAGTATATAAGCATAAACAGTCAATAATGCATAATATAATCTATTTATAAAAAAATTATAATTTATATATATGATTGATTAAGTATTTTGAATGACTTTTTTAATTAAGCATATACAGTTTCGATAGAATAAATAATGACTTTTAGGAAATATTTATCTGAATGATACTCTGGATGCATTAATTATTTTATCCTAGCTAGAACTCACTGTCACATTGGCTTGGCGTTTTTATGCGTGAGTTATTTATAGATGTCCAGTCAATGTTGCTCAATGTAACAAATGTATCATTCCTTGTGTAACTACATGACGATGCATGTTGAAGAATTTCGTCAGCAGACGGAACATTTGGTGTAATTTGATACCCAGATATCGAGATAACTATGTAATAAAAATGAGAATATGATAAGTTTGACAGGAATTCTAGAAGAAATGTCATATTTTGATATTTTTTTTAATAATTTCAAATGTACGTGTAAATATAACAGGAAAAAAACTATAAAATGGTTGTAACGAATGCAAAAAAGTATGTTCTTAAGAAAACAATAAGTTAAATTTCTATTTCTGGAAAACAAAAGTGTGATCCTCTGCTTTAGTGACTAAACTAAACAAAAAAAATCGAGTCAAATTTCAAAGAAAGTATTTTAAAACAATGTAAATATATCAAAATATTATTTGCCTTTTTATTTTTTTTTGTTACCTGCTGATGGGTCATCATCAAAAACAACAGCAAATCTGAAGTCTGCATCAATCAAATTGGTATTTCTATGACAGGGAAGAGGTTTCTGAGATTCGATTATTCCATTTATATAGACACTTATAGTGTTTGTTTCTGTGCTCATAATAATTGCTACATGATGCCAGGTTTG